TCTTCTTCGATTTCTCTCAGAAGTATTTTGTAGTTTTCAGTGTATAGATATTTCACATCTTGTCTCAAACTTATCCCTAAGTATTTCATATTTTAATTTTATTATAACATTTTTAAACATTTTATTTCTGATTGTTGCTAGTATATACAAATGCAGTTCAGTTTTTTTATATTGATCTTGCATCCCACAGCCTTTCTGAACTCAAGCATTAAACTCTAGTAGCTTTTTGTACATTCGGTCTGATTTTCTACATGACATGGCTATGTCATTTGAGAATAATGGTTAAGTGCTATCTTTACAATTTGGATGATTCTTACTTCTTTCCTTCCATTTTTCCTTCCTTCTTTTCTTTCCTCTTTCTTTTTGCCCCTAATTTCACTAGCTAGAATTTCCAATACAACATTGAATAGAAGTGAAAGGGAACATGACTATCTTGTTTACGACCTTAGGGGGAAAACATTCAGTCTTTAAGTATAATGTTAGTTGTAGATTTTTTGTAAATACCCTTTATCATATAAGGAAGTTCTCCTCTATTTCTAGTTTACTGAGAGTTTTCATCAATAATGAATGTTGAATTATGTCAAATGCTTTTTCTGCCTTATAATGTGACAGTCCTCCACCAGCTTGCTTAAGGGTGATATCTGCTACTTGAACATCATTTACAGAATATGGTGAGTTAACCAAATATTTTACCATGTATGTATAAATCTCAATAAAACAAAGAAATTTTAGAATTCAAATCTATAAATTTTAAAGTATTGACTTTGTAACATGATTAATTTAAAAGTAAATTAAAATATATGAGTTTGTGCCTGGCATGGTGGCTCACATCTGTATTCCCAGCATTTGGGAGGCTGAGGTGGGCAGATCACGAGTTTGTCGAAACCAGCCTCAACAACATGGAAAAACCCTGTCTTTACCAAAAAAAAAAAAAAAAAAAAATTGGCCAGGTATAGTCCCAGGTACTTGGGAGGCTGAGGTGGGAGGATCGCTTGAGTCTGGGAGGCAGAGGTTTCAGTGAGCCAAGAATGCGTCACTGTACTCCAGCCTGAATAGTGCCAGACCCTGTCTTAAAAAGAAAATATATATGTATATTAGTTTGATAAACTCCAGTATAACTTTTTACATAAAATTGACTTTTTAAAGTTTATAAATATAAATATTTAAATATGTTATTGAAATCCAATTTTGCTGGAAAGCCTAAACACAATGTGGAAGCTATTGACTTGTCTATTATCAATCTTACATACTATTATAAAACAAATGCTATGCCATTATAGCTTCTTTCAACTATCCAAAAGCTTGTGGGTCAGGTGTGAAACCTACAAGATGAAGCAAATGAGGCTTTATCTAGGGGTGACAGTTTTGTGGAAAGACATGAGTATCAGGGAAGGCTACATAATGCAAAAACAAAATTCTGTGTGGACTTGAACCCAAGGCATTTTGCTTACCAGACAAGTAAGCTGAATGACAAAGCAACAATTCCCTGTCATAAAAGTTAATTTATTTGATATTATAGTTAGACATTTAAAAATACACCAGAAGAATTTTAGAGTTTGAAAATGAAAAGTTGCATTTTGTTTTGAGCAGGAAACATATCAAGACAAACTTACTTCATACAAGACATTATTGTAATCCCAGTGACTCAGGAGGCCCAAGCAGGAGGACCACTTCAGGCCAGGAATTTGAGATTAGCCTAGACAACATAGCGAGACCTTGTCTCTAAGAAAATAAATTAGTCATTGTAGTAGCACACACCTATAGTTCTAGTTACCTGGGATGCTGGGGTAGGAGGACAACTTGAGCCTAGGAGTTTGAGGCTGCAGTGAACCATGATCACGCCACTGCACTCCAGCCTAGGTGACAGATCAAGACCCCATTTCTGGGAGGGTGGGAAAACCAGACATTTACAAGGCCTGAGCAGAGGAGGCTGCCAACTGTAGAAATTGCAAGTTACAAAGAAATTCTCTGTTTTCTACCTTGACATCTATAAAAAGTTGCTCTAAAGAAAAAGAACCAGCTCTGGCCAGGCATGGTAGCTCACACCTGTAATTCCAGCACTTTGGGACACCAGGGCAGGTGGATCACTTGAGGTCAGGAGTTTGTGACCAAGCCTGGCCAACATGGTGAAACCCTGTCTCTACTACAAATACAAAAATTAGTGGGGTGTGGTGGTGCTCGCCTATAGTCCCAGCTCTCAGGAGGCTGAGGCAGAATTGCTTGAATCAGGGAGATGGAGGTTGCAGTGAGTCGAGATTGCGCCACGGCCCTCCAGCCTAGGTGACAGAGCAACACAGAAGAGAAGAGAGAGAAGAGAAGAAAAAAGAGAAGAGAGAAGAGAAGAGAAGAGAACCAGTTATTTCCACTGTTTTCAGAACAAATCAACAGACTGAAGTTTACTTGTGTTGACAGTGTGTGAGGTTACAATGTGATACTTACTATTCTTGAGGAGATGGAAATGTTCAGAAAAGAAGCCACACAAAGTACATGGCAGAAGAGCAAAAATGCAAAACAGGCTTAAAGAACCCTGAGTTTAGAAAAAAGCAATAGATCAAAGGGATCAAGAATGGGCATTAGAAGATGAAACTGAAGACAGAATAGGGAGTAGGTTCCAGGCATGGAAACAGGACATTCTCTGTGAGGAAAAGGGAAGAACTTGTTTAGTTAGGCATGAAACACACATTCTAGGTAGAAATAATTTTTTTTTTCTTGAGACGACATCTAGCTCAGTCACCCAGGTTGGAGTTCAGTGGCACAATCTTGGTTTACTGCAACCTCCGCCTCCCAGATTCAAGCGATTCTCCTGCCTCAGCCTCCGAGTAGCTGGGATTACAGGCGCCTGCCACCACGCCTAGCTAATTTTTGTATTTTTAGTAGAGACGGGGTTTCACTGTGTTGGCCAGGCTGGTCGTGAACTCCTGACCTCGTGATCCGCCTGCCTCAGCCTCCCAAAGTGCTGGAATTACAGGCATGAGCCACCACGCCCGGCCCGGTAGAAATAATTTTTCAAAACTTAGCTGGAAAAATGTATATAGCAACAAGTAATGGTTTAAAACTCAGACTAAAAGGATAGAAGCTCTTTTGAAAAACTTTTTGAGAAGTTGCTTTCTCAAACTAAGCTTTGAAGTGTATTTCTTATCTGTCAGGAAGGTTGGAAGATAGAGAGCTTAGAAGTGGAGAAACCAGAAACTTTTCAAATAAGGGCCCCAGATGCTAGGCTATGTTCCTTCAGCCTCTGAAGTCAGCAGTGAATACATGTGACACAGCATGTGTTCGTGCTATGTGCCACGAATCCATGAAGGAATGAATGAAAAGAAAGCAAATGTGCGGGAATAATCTATAAGAGTTGGCAAGTCATTGGAGGTGGAGATGTACGTCTAATGCGTGGGAATGCACAAATCTGTAAATACGTGTCAAGTGAACCGTTGGGTACATGCGGAAAAGGAATGTGGAGGGAACATGAGCTGATACGAGAAGGAGCACATTTCAGAATCAAAATTATTCTGCTTTCTAGTACTGGCTTTGCCACTTTTATCAGTCTTGTGACTTAAGGATGTTTTCTACTCTAAGTCTCAGCTTCATCTCTAAAATGAGGATAATGATACGTGTTTGTGAAAAAAATTAAGTTGGATAAAATAAAACAATGTAAATGACTCATGTTTTGTTTTGTTTTGAGACAGTCTTGCTCTGTTACCCAGGCTGGAGTGCAGTGGCACCACCTCGGCTCACTGCAAACTCCACCTCCTGGGTTCACGCCATTCTCCTGCCTCAGCCTCCCAATTAGCTGGGACTACAGGCTCCCGCCACCACACCAGGCTAATTTTTTGTATTTTTAGTAGAGATGGAGTTTCACCATGTTAGCCAGAATGGTCTAGATCCCCTGACCTCGTGATTCGCCCACCTCGGTCTCCCAAAGTGCTGGGATTACAGGCATGAGTCACCGCGCCTGGCCATGACTCACATTTTATTGTCCCTTAATACATAGCCCTGAATAGACTGTGGCGATTTTTTATGATAAGGTCCTTTTGGTGGCATTTTCGAGAGGAGTATCTCAGGCCATGTGCTTGCAAGTGCAGATTTAAAATAAGGAGAAATCTAGGCTGGAGACAAGTTTGCCAGCATTCAGCCATTCAGCTGTACTACGTCACCTACTCTGTACTAGGGCCAGAGAGGAAACAATGGCTGGTGAAAGAGCAACTGATATTTCTGAAGGCAGGAAGATATAAATAATTAGAACAAAAGAGAGGGTGAACAACGAATAGTGTTGACAGCGCAGCCCTCAAGTCTTGGGTCCTTCTAAGTGCAAGATGAAAAAGGAAGCCTTCATGACACATAAATTCTTACGAGACAGTGTTTCTCTTCTGGGAGAAATGGAAACTCGGAAATCAGTGCTCTCAAAGGGAAATTAGGTATGATTTCTTGGGAGCCACAACCCAACCAGGCTATGAGGCTTTCCAAATAATAACAGTCCTGAGTTTGAGCCTCAGAGAAGGCACGTATATTTTCAAGTCATGCACTGTATCAACTGCCTTTTTTGGTAGATAAAAGAAAATACTGTATATGCTAATAAACATTAACAAAAAAACATTCAGGTAAAAAGAAGAAATCTGAGTTTTAACAAAACTGAAAAACACTCAGAAGAGGACTATATGGAATGACAATTTGTTTTTCATCTTCTGGATCATCCCCTGAGGAAAGCAAAGAAAGTTCCCTCAGGATATTCCAGTTGGCAACAGCGGAGCAGAGGAATATTACTTTATTCATTTATTCAGAGAAGTACTTTGCTGGGCACTGTTCTAGAAGATGGGAAATACAAGTGATCAAAATATAACCTACTCCACAACTCTCAAATCCAGCTCCAAAAAACTTTTAGTGTGGAGGATGGTACAGTAAAGATAATAAGCCAATAAATAAGTAAAACATAGCATTTCAGATCTGTATATTATGACAAAAAAAAAAAAAAAAAGGCCTAAATTGGAACAGGAAACACAGATGGGGTGCTGAATTACAAGATGGCAGTTAAAGAAGGCCTCACTGACAAGATAAGTTCCCAGTGTTAGGACCCCAATATCCTTCCTTACAAAGGGTGGGGATCCCACCCTAGAAAAGGAATAGCAGTTCAGCCGCCCCACAGCAGCTGTGGCAGGGCTGCTTCTGGATACCTTCATGGAGAAATGCACAAACTGCCCTTCATTTCAAAGGTGAGCATCAGTGTCGTCTTCAGAGAAGATGCAGCCATTGTGGGGTTAGGGTTTCTCTCCTCAGGTCACTAGTGTAGGTGCACCTGCTGAGAAGTTTCAGCCATTCCACCTGCAATAAGACAGATAGTTAATGAGAAAAGCAAGAGACAGAACCTGTGAAGAACATGTGACCATCAATCATTTGAATGAAAGGGGACAAATTTGAATGAAAGGGGACACATTTGTTTATTTGTGTTTGTATAAAGGTATTCCAGACAGGTACACAGGAAATGAAAAGTGGTTCACTGTAGTATATCAAAGACAAAACACAGCCAGGCCTTAGTTTAAATGACAAAAACAGATTTTATTTAGTAACCACTGACAGTGGGAAACCATCTGGGTTTCATAACTGGCACATATCAAAATCAGGCTCCACAAAGCCTGGGAGACGAGGGCCCTATCTTCAGACGTTGACTGAAACAAATGGTAAATTCCTTTGGCAGCATCAATTGAGTTTTCTCAGGCAGGCACTTGAGGAGATGGGCCTATTAGAAACTACGTTCGGGTTTGTTCAGGTCTTTATAGGCCAAGGTGGCCACCTAGTCCAGAAGAGGGCTCAGAAGAATCCGCCTACAGTTTGGTCAAAAAGAGAATCGTTGCCAAGTAGATGAGGGAACTGGGCGGCTGGGGACTGTTGGGGATGGGATGGTTTATAGTATTTTTTGCATATTCAATTATTAAACCGTAGCAATGAAATACCTAATCGAAATAATAAAACGAAACAAAGTTTTAGCTACATTATCCTATCCATTATCGCCACAAGATGGCGATAGCGCTTCTCAATTCGCCTGCGGGACAGAGGAGGGTGCGGCCCCGAGAACTCCTCTCTGTGCCAACTGCAGCGTTTCGTTAGTTCAGTCGCCTGAGCTTTTCTGCATGTAGATTCCTCTCAGGGTAGCCCTTTGTTGACCAAAAAAGAAATACGTTCACTGATTTGGCCAGCTTTTTTTTTTTTTTTTAAACTTTTTTTTTTTGGAGGGGAAAGGGAGTGGTCATGGACATCCCGAAGTAGACACAAAAATACAGAGAATCCTGCACTTCCCAAGGCTCGTCGCGGAGGCTTCAACAGTTACCAACATCTTGCCCATTTTGTTTCATTATCCGCACCCACACTGACAGATGAGGGAGTCTAAAAAATATCCGAAACATGAAATCCCATATATGTGATTTTAATTATGAATATTTTCACAAATATCCTAACAGATACGGATATAAAGAAAATACACTGAGATTTTACACCTAAGAAAATTTTAAAAATGATGTGGAACATTATCCAATACCTAGCCCTTAAAGAAAGAAAATCCTGAATTGTCTCAAGTATTTTTTATACTGATTTTGTCTGAATGAGATCCCACCAGATCCAAATACGGCATTTGGTTGCTGTTCCTCTTGAATGTATTAAAATCCGTAAATTTACCCAGGTCTCCAAGTAGCCTGACTGCTCTTTGAAAAAGGAATTGAGACCATAATCTGGGTGGGAATTCTCACTGATTATGGATTGTCATTGCTTTTAAAACATTCTTTGAAAAGTGTTGTGGAAAAAATGGTTTTCTTTCTTTCTTTTTTTTTTTTTTTGAGATCTGTCGCCCAGGCTGGAGTGCAGTGGCACGATCTGGGCTCATTGCAATCTCCGCCTCCCGAGTTCAAGCGATTCTCCTGCCTCAGCCTCCCAAGTAGCTGGGACTACAGGCACGCACCACCACGCCTGGCTTATTTTTGTATTTTTAGTAAAGACCGGGTTTCACCATGTTGGCCAGGCTGATCTCCTTCCTGACCTTACGTGATCCCCCCGCCTCAGCCTCCCAAAGTGCTGGGATTACAGGCGTGAGCCACCGCGCCCGGCCAAAGGTATACTTTTTATGAGAGTATTTTTAAAAATACTCAAATTATCTGTCACGGTTCCTTGCCTATGCCCCTAAAAAGAGAGGGGAGGGGTGGGGGAAGCGGGGGGTGGAAACAGAAATAAAAAGAAAACTGACAGAGGAGGAGTCCAAAAGCCCAACTCCCATTAAGTCAAGACTTCCCACAGTTCTTTAAGCCAGCAAATGAATGTAATTTAAACTGCTTCAAACTTCATATAAAAATAAATCATTTTTGGTAAATCAATAAACAAAGAGGCATCTCCATGACTACTGGTGGGAGTATGTACTCCTCCTTTTCTAAAACAAAAAAAAACAGCAGAGAGCCCTGAGTTGGAAACATGGAAAGCATAACTTTTTTGAGTTGGCTATTATTAAGTGTAATATGAGACGGACCACTCCATTCCTACATCTCTTTTCTTTAACCAATGCATTTTGGCTACAGAAGAAATTATGCCTTTTCTTAGCCACTATTCAGCACATCTACAACATCCAAAATTGAACAGTACTCCAAGAGGGTGCTAAATGACTACATGCCACTTTAACTGAGTCTTCCAAAAACTGAGACTTCTGCTTATAAGGAATGTGGTACACATTAGGACTACTGAGTCCCATGGTCATCCATTCATTACCTTACCCTTTCTGTATAATGGGTCCAAAAAATGTTGAGATATGAGGTATAAAGTGTTCAGTAAGTTCATAGGTGGTCCTGCTAGCAATAGCAAAGTGAAGCATATCCAAATTTAGAGGGTTTATCTCAGTGAAGACAAATCCCTGCCTTATCCATCACAAAATACTTGCAAGAATACAAGAATACTTCCCCTGACATATGGGGCACTTAGCAGCATCAGTATCCAGAGGTCAGCCTTGGTGAGCTAAGTCTATACTACAGAGCTCAAGTATCACCTCTACCATTGCCTGCCATCCTGGTCACATTGTTTACAAATAAATCACTTGGGCAATCAGTGGGGTGATAGGAAAAGAGACTACGTAACAGCCATATGGTTGATGTGTACCTGATTGTTGATAGCCTCCTCTGAAGAGTGAGAATTTAGGTTAGTATTCATATGGGACATTATTCTCATACTCTGGGACCATTCTGGGAAATTCGTCCATATCACCATTCCCCAAAGCTTCTTGTCAACACAGCCTCCACTTTTGCCCACTTAAAATCTCTGTCTATCCAAACCATTAGCCGTGTACATTCAGTTTAGATCACTCTCCTTCTAGAAAAAGTAAACAGTGGCATTCAGTACTCCAAATTGTGCTGAGTGGCAGCAATTCTTTTTCCTATTGTCATTTATGGACATACTTGAGTTACAGCTTCTAATGCTACTGTTACAACTGGCGTCAGTACTATTAGCCAGCTTATATTGAATGCTCACTATGTACAGGACATTGTTGTAAGTATACCAAAACTATTTGCTCAAGAGGCACTATTACATCCCCTATTACATTTTAAAATGAAGGGAAAAGCCAGAGGAAAAAAAAGAGAAAAAAGCCAATTCTTCAGGAACTGGTTAGTAATGGGTTGAACTTGTAGCATTCAGTTTTTTTTGTTTTTTGTTTTTTTTGGAGACGGAAACGCCTCTGTTGCCCAGTCTGGAGTACAGTGACACAATCTCGGCTCACTGCAACCTCCGCCTCCTGGGGTCAAGTGATTCTCCTGCCTGAGCCTCCTGAGTAGCTGAGATTACAGGGTCCTGCCAGCTCACGGGCTAATTTTTGTATTTTTAGTAGGGATGGGGTTTCACCATGTTGGCCAGGCTGATCTCGAACTCCTGACCTCAACTGATCCACCAGCCTCGGCCTCCCAAAGTGCTGGGATTACAGGCATGAGCCACCCCGCCCAGTCCCATTCAGTTTTTCAAGCAAAGTATTAACTTTTTGTCCTTATTCTTAAGGGGATACTAGCAAGATGAAAATAACCCATAAGGTGATCATTTGTTTCATTACCTCTTAGGCAGGTTAGTCTTCTGAGTAACAGAATTAGCTGGGTTCTTTTCAACTTAACTTTGTGTAGTTTTCGAAAACCTAGCCTTTACAAATTTTCACCTGTGGCTGGACGATATGCCCATGAGTCAGTCGCAATCCTCCTTTTCTTACAAACTCTGCTTTTTATTCTGATTTCTATATCTTGTAAGACAAAGAAGCAAGTTATTTAGCTTGGAAATTATCATCTGACTATTTGGATTAATAGAGAGGGTCAGAGGCCCCTGTAACATAACAATAATGTCATAAAAGTAATTTAAGTTCTGTTTATTCACAGAATTGATAACAGTTCAGTTATCATTAGTATGGGATTATGGTGAAGTAAAAGAACTTGAGTGTGTATTTTCTACATAGAAATATATACAACAAACCAGATAGCAATTCAAAGAGAGATGTTTTAGAAACTCTACAGAGACAGTTTTCAAAGGCTGGACAAGTGTCCGAGAAAAAGCTCAAAAAAGAAATTTCATAAAGCAGACAATATTTAACTGGGCTTTGAAAAAAATAGGACATGAGTCAACAAAAGTGTGTATTTCATAGTGGATTTAACAAAAATACTAATTGCTTTAGATGCTATTACTGTGCTAAATTTAGATCCATTTTAAATAAACTAGATAGTAACTCGTTTATAAACAATTACTACCTTTGAAACCAAAAGCCAGTCATAGTGGGAGCTTCCAAATGCTTTATAGACCTTGGATTTTTACCTAAGAGACACATGACTGAATAGTTACAACCTAGAGCAACATCGTTTGTTGGATGACTGGTTCTCATTTGTGACAACCTGAATAAGGGGGAACTTGTTTTTCCTCACTTCTTCTAGGCAAAGTCAAAAACAGTATTTAAAATACTAAAGAAAGGAGTTTTAAAATTGAAATTGACTTATTTCAGAAAAGAGTTTGGGATAAACGTCCTCAAGTTTTCTGCCTTAACACCCCGAATTGTCCTGTTTAGGCTTCTAATGCCTTTGCTTATATAGATATGCCATAAAGGGAAAATAGTATTCTAATTAGAGATAAAGCATTGATCAGGCTGAAAACTACCGCCTTCAAATTCCATTGCAGCCGGACTGGATGGCTCACGCCTGTAATCAGCACTTTGGGAGGCTGAGGCTGGTGGATCACCTGAAGTCAGGAGTTCGAGACCAGCCTGGCCAACATGGTGAAATCCCGTCCCTACTAAAAATACAAAAATTATCCGGGCATGGTGGCGCATGCCTCTAATCCCAGCTACCCGGAAGGCTGAGGCAGGAGAATCGCTGGAACCCGGGAGGCGGAAGTTGCAGTGAGCTGAGATCACGCCACTGCACTCCAGTCTGGGTGACAGAGAAAGTCTCCCTCTCAAAAAAAAAAAAAAAAAAAAACTGATTATGTTGCCATAAAGGGTCCCTTTTTTAAAAAATCGCTGTATCCAATGAAAACTGAGAAGAAATCAATCTCCTTCCCGAAAGCGATAAAATACTAAAGAATGAGAAACACAAACTGACAGTTTACTGAGTTTGTTAAGGCAGGCCAAATAAAGGCGGGGTTTGAATTCCTTTGGCGCACCCAAACCGGCCGTGGACTTCCTGGATACAGCAACTAATCAGGATGCAGACAGGAAGGGTGGGCGCTGCCCGGACAAATTCAAACTGATAACCGCTGCAACTTGGCACTGTTCCAACTCACTATCCGCTGGGGGACCGACGAGTATTTTAATCAGTTTCGAACGTGTAATAGAAAGTCTCCCCATCTCCTTACTTAACTCTAAGGGGATTAGAATGGCAGATCTAAAAAAAATCATTAAGGATTAGTTCAGACTAAAAAAAACAGTAGTGAGTTACAAGTACTATGTCAATGGCCAGCACAGGAGGAATACAAGCACCAGCTCTCTCTTTGAGAAGATGGGTGGCTCTTAAAAGAGCCGTTAGGGTCGAGTTTGCAACCAACTCACTGTTTACTTAGCGCTGGTGTACTTGGTGACGGCCTTGGTGCCCTCGGACACGGCGTGCTTGGCCAACTCCCCGGGCAGCAGCAGGCGCACGGCCGTCTGGATCTCCCTGGAGGTGATGGTCGAGCGCTTGTTGTAATGCGCCAGGCGGGAAGCCTCACCAGCAATGCGCTCGAAAATGTCGTTCACAAACGAATTCATGATGCCCATGGCCTTGGACGAAATGCCGGTGTCAGGATGGACCTGCTTCAACACCTTGTACACATAGATGGAATAACTCTCCTTGCGGCTGCGCTTGCGCTTTTTGCCGTCTTTCTTCTGCGCCTTAGTCACCGCCTTCTTGGAGCCCTTTTTCGGGGCGGGAGCGGACTTCGCGGGCTCTGGCATAGCGAACACTAGCTACAAAGCTCCAAGGAAAAAGAAAACCACGGTGAGCAAGGTACGACAAGGCGCTTTTATATAGAATCGCTTATGCAAATAAGGTGAAGAGTTGAAGTCTTGTGTCTGATTGGTAGTTATTCAGGGTAACGTCAGAGGTCAGTTCTGCCCAATCAGGATTCGCAAATCCAGAAGACGTACTGCCATTGGTTGGAATTAAACTGCAGTCCTAACCAACAACACGTCTTCTTTTTCGCGCCCAGTAGTGTTTATAAAAAGCGCCGCCTGTCCTGTTTGTTTCGTAGTTGCTTGTGGTGAGTTAGTTGCGCTCGCAATGTCTGGACGTGGCAAGCAGGGAGGCAAGGCTCGCGCTAAGGCCAAGACTCGCTCCTCTAGGGCTGGGCTCCAGTTCCCCGTGGGCCGAGTGCACCGCCTGCTTCGCAAAGGCAATTATGCCGAGAGGGTTGGGGCCGGCGCGCCGGTGTATCTGGCAGCGGTGCTGGAGTACCTGACAGCGGAGATCCTGGAACTGGCGGGCAATGCGGCCCGCGACAACAAGAAGACTCGCATCATCCCCCGTCATCTCCAACTGGCCATCCGCAACGACGAGGAACTCAACAAGCTGCTGGGCAAAGTCACCATCGCACAGGGCGGTGTCCTGCCCAACATCCAGGCAGTGCTGCTGCCCAAAAAGACTGAGAGCCACCACAAGGCGAAGGGCAAGTAACTACCTGGACTAGTTTGTGGCAACTGGAGTAAAACGAGTCCAAACCAACGGCTCTTTTAAGGGCCACCCACGTCTTCTCTAAAAGAACTTAACATTTCCACGTGGAAGAAAATGAGACATGGGGAAAACTTAAGTCATAAGTTACCCATCCTTATACCTTTTTAAGACAGTGTAGCGAACACCGCAGATTTAAAAAAAAACTAGAGGGGAGGTGGTCCAGATTCTACCACGTTTAAAAGTTAGGATGTGAACAGATGTATTAGGCCACTACTTAATTTTAAACTTAGCGTGTGTCCACAGAGTGCCAGTGGCTTCGTGAGTTTTTGAAGCACTTTGGCACAAGGGTTATTGCCCTGGCTAGAATTTAGCAGACAGCTATTCCACGCAGGCCAAGGGCGGCAAGAAGTCTCCCCGCTATGTGCCCTGCACGGTGACCCTGCGCGACGTACGGCGCTACCAGAACTCCGAGCTGCTGATCAGCAAGCTGTCTCCTGCGAGAGCTCGTTGGTGACGCCGCTGCAGGAGAGCGAGGCTGCAGGACTTTTGTGACACGATAGTCCACCTCCCTGCAAAGGCTCTCTCAGAGACACATCTTTCCTGATGGATAGCTGTGAAGCATTCTCTTACCCACCCCACTGCATGTTTCAAAGTATTCCTTTAAAATGAAGTGAGTAAAACACTGGGATGACGTTATCTGGAGCCCAAGAAATATTTCTCATTTGGAAAGGCCTAATATCCTAAGTTGCTTACCCAGAAGAACTTGACAGGATAGTTATTTCTAATAAACCTTAAAACCCTTTCAGGAAATTTGAGGTAAAGTGTTAGCACACAGACTGTTAAAACGTCTTCCTCACAAATACGGGGGAAAATATATAGAGGATTATCATATGGTTAACAAATGATGAGTATTAGAAATGCACTTTAGAAATGAGTATTAGAAATGTTTATGAGTATTAGAAAAGTACAGTGTTGGGCGTTCCTGACACAAACTGAGGCCTCCTAGCAAGACTGGCAGATTTCTGTGGAGGAGGGTTATTTAGTACGATAGTGCAAATAACTTTTGGTGTTGTAGCTAAATAAGGAATATTCATACCAAGATTGCACAATCTTGCCTCCTACCTCTGTTCACTGAACTCTGATGTAATTTATTTATTTATTTTTATTTTATTTTATTTTATTTTATTTTATTTTTTTGAGACGGGGTCTCGCTCTGTCGCCCAGGCTGAAGTGCAGTGGCGTGATTTCGGCTCACTGCAAGCTCCGCCTCCCGGGTTCACACCATTCTCCTGCCTCAGCCTCCCGAGTAGCTGGGACTGCAGGCGCCCACCACCATGCCCGGCTAATTTTTTGTATTTTTAGTAGAGACGGGGTTTCACCGTGTTAGCCAGGATGGTCTCAATCTCCTGACCTCGTGATCCGCCCGCCTTGGCCTCCCAAAGTGCTGGGATTACAGGCGTAAGCCACAGCGCCTGGCCCACTCAGATGTAATCTTGAGAAAAAGACATTAACAGTTTTCTTGCGTATTGTACACACTTTTGGCTGTCTGGTAACATGGAAAATCTCAGAATGATGTTTTAAGTATATAAAATGCCAAACAAAGTTAAATTACAGTTATCAGAGTATTTTTGAAACTTGATAGTGATAAATGGGCCTATATAGTTATGTTGTTAATATAGTTAACACATTATATAATTTGGTGAGCCTAATTGCTGTTACTAATTAGAGGAGTATAAATGTTTCAAGATAACTCAGCAATTGTAACGAGAAATGAAACATCTAATGTCTTTTGGGTTACAAAGTAACAGGTACTGAGATTTGTGGCCTAAATTCATAATAAAGTGAAATGTTCAAGTTCAGTCAAGGTTAACTTTTTAAAAATAGATATTTTACTACCCAAACTCACAGACTTCCCCTTCAGCACCTTCCAATTGCTGAATTTTATCCTTAGGGGCGTTGTGACATATAAGTATGGACCTCAGGTTAAAAACTCTTGCTCTAAAATTTGGTCGACCTACCCCATTTCTTTTCAGCTCCTTTTCTCTAGATACCTCCTCTTCCTATCTGGAATTTCTTTAGCACTTAGTCTATTGACATCTCGTAACCTTTTATTGTTTCTGTTTCTTGTTCTTAAAATATAACTACTTCCAATCCTAGTATAAATATGATGTTCTGGAACAGAAATAAGTGCTGACAATTAGCAAAAATAGGTACTTGAGCAAAATTGTAAAATATTTGGCTTTTTGATGGATTTTTATACTGGGTAACCCAAATAATAATTTTATTCATTTTTGAGTTGTTCGTCTTTAAAGGTCTTTCAACTTATTTAAATTAATATTTAATAAATTTCACAAATGTATAGTGGTTGGACACAGGATGTATTTTGCAAGTGTAACTGTCACTGGAAAGGGGTCCCAATCCAGACACCAAGAGAGGGTTCTTGGGTCTCTCTCAAGAAAGAATTCGAGGCAAATCCATAGAGTACAGTGAAAGCAAGTTTATTAGAGAAGTAAAGAAAATTGTTCTTTTGTTCTATTCTAAGGATATTTATAGTTATTTCTTGATTACATGCTAAACAAGGGGTGGATTCTTCATGAGTTTTCTGGGAAAGGGGTGGGCAATTCCCCAACTGAGAGTTCCTTCCCCTTTTAGACCATATAGGGTAACTTTCCTACGTTGCCATGGCATCTGTAAATGGTCATGGCACTGGTGGGAGTGTCTTTTAGCATGCTGATGCATTATAAGTGTGTATAATGAGCAGTGAGGATAACCAGAGGTCAATTTCCTCGCCATCTTGATTTTGGTAGGTTTTGGCTGGCTTCTTTACCTCATGCTTTTATTAGCAGTCTTTATGACCTGTACCTTGTGCCAACCTCTTCTGTGACTCATTCTGTGAATACAAATGCCTTAAGCTTCTGGGAATGCAGCCCAGTAGGCCTCAGCCTTATTTTACCCAGCTCCTATTCAAGATGGAGTTGCTCTGATTTAAACGCCTGACTATTATAATAAAGTTTGCTGCTAGATTTGTTTTGTAGTGTGAAAGAATGTGAGTACTCAGAGTTACTCTGTTTGAACTAAGTTTATCTTGATAGTCAGTTATCCTATTAGAAAAGAGACTGATTAGCATCACATTTTAAAAAATGTTATACTGTGTGTATGTTTACTATTGATTTCAGGACTAAATTTACCGTCAATTTCAGAAACTAAAGAGTCTGACAAACTCAAATATCCTTGTAGGGGAGGCAAAATTTTACCACTATCCTCTTGAGTTTTTATGGCTGGGCCTGATAATTAAACTGACATAAGACAGATTAAGAGGAGAAAAGCATATAACTTTATTTAATATAAATTTTATGTGGCATGGGACATGGGAGCTCTAATTACAGACCCCAAAGAAGTAGCAAAACCTAAATGCTTTTATAGTAGGTTGAACAGAGTAAATTGTGAAAATGTAACTATGTAGGAAGGCTAAAGGAAAACAATTATTTTAAGGAGATCTGCTTGTACAGAATTTTCTTGGTTTCAACTTCCTGTCCTTGATGAAAATGTTCTTTTCCTTTTGGTACAAGGAGGACATCTTCCACACCAGGCCTCTGAGCCCAAGCTAAGCCTGTGATATGCACATATACATCCAGATGGCCTGAAGCAACTGAAGATCCACAGAAGTGAAAATAGCCTTGACCGATGACATTCCACCATTGTGATTTGTTTCTGCCCCACCCTAACTGATCAATGTACTTTGTAATTCTCCCCACCCTTGAGAATGTACTTTGTGAGATCCACCCCCTACCCCCAAAATATTGCTTTAAACTCCACCACCTATCCCAAAACCTGTAAGAACTAATGATAATCCCACCACCCTTCGCTGACTCTTTTTTCGAACTCAGCCCGCCTGTACCCAGGTGAAATAAACAGCCTTGTTGCTCACACAAAACCTGTTTGGTGGTCTCTTCACACGGACATGGGAATTTTAATTCCTGCTTTTAGGGAGGAAAAAGGGAACAGTGAGAGTGCCTTTCTGCCTTTCTTGTACCTACTCTTTTAAATTGCCTTTATCTCAAAATCTTATTCCAAAATGGCATATTTTGGGATGGCATATTCTGCCACATTTTACCATTCATTGCTATCCTTATTGTCACTAATTGCTATGCGAAAACTCATGAAATCAGATACAGAAAATGGCTTCTGATTGGTGAGAAGCTCAAGCAGAGAAATATATTTGTTAAGTAATGTTGGGGAAAATACAATTTTGAAATCTCCCAAAGAATAGAAAGGAAATAATTTTATTATTGAATAAGCATTAAACCAGAGAGTTGCTTATCACAGGCAATCTTACGAAGAGATTGCAAAACCAGAAAGAAATATTGCTTTCTTATTAGGAATAGCCATGTTGGATAGGTTTTGCAATTCGAAGTTAGGTGACAGCTAAAATTTGGCCTATTTTCTCACTGGAAACTGGAAGACAGAGCACTATCTTTTTTAATGATGAACATTTCAAAGAGATAGCTCTCCAGGCATTGAGAAAATATTCTCAGTTATAAGGCCTGTTTAGTCATTAAAAGGATTTGCATACATTTTAAAAGGACAGAGAAAGACATCTTGAAAGTGATGGGAAAGGAAGTCTCTTGTTTACAACAGATAATTAAGCCTGTTATTTTTAATTTGTATTTACCCTTAGATTAAGTATTCAATTAATCTATGCTCCCTTACCCTCTTTACAACATATACTGAATTCAGCTACAGCAAGTTACAGCCAGTCATATCAATTTTGTTTTGTTTTGTTTTCCAAAGATGTATGGCAAGTTTTCTTTTATTGCAACATAAATGCAAAAATTTTAAAAGTATTTTAATGAAAAGTTTATCTTCATTTACTTTATGACATTTAAGTGGAGTACTTTGAAAATACTTCAAGCATTGCTGTAAGGAACTCATTGAAATAAAGAGTAGCAAGAAAATGACCAAATAGGCCGGGTGCAGTGGCTCATATATTCAGTATATGATAAGTTCCTCAAATCAGTGGGGGAAATAGGTCATGTATTGTACTGACTAACCAGCTGATTAACTTTTTGAAAAGTTATTTCTATAAACAAGAAATCAAATCCTTATTAGTACAGTTAGATTATTTAAAATGGTTCTACCCAGCATTAGTTAAGGTTGTAGGCATATCAGAAACTGCTACTGGTGTAGGGGCCAAGAGAAAACCTCCCTTTTGCCCTCTGAAAGTTTACTGAAAATCAACTGATAAGAGAATATTAATAAGAGAAAAGGCATACAAATTTATTAAGGTACAGGGCTGGGGACCACAGAATAACTACCTCAACGCCTCAGTGGGGTACAGAAGCTTATATACCCTTTCTCAGAGGCAAAAGAGGAGATGGGTAATGTAGACAATTTTTTGAGGAACAGTAAATGATTATTAGGGAGAAGGAATGCACCAAGGAGAAAGAAATTAACTTGTAAATGATTCTCTTTGGAATCTGAATGAGATCAAGAGGCCAGCTTTATCTTGTGGGAAAGTTCATCTAGGTATAGTTGCATTCTTCAGTCTTCTTTTCTGCATGCAGTAGATAATGAGGTAACCGAAGGCAATTGTGCTTCTTTTGGTAAGAAGCTTTCTTGGTCATATCAGGAAATTCCAGAGAAAGTCCCTCCCTGGAAGAGAAACAAGACAAAGTTAGAGGGATCTTGATTCTTAGACTTGTTTCTGAGAACCTTCAATTTTCCAAAGCACCCAGGATTACCAAGCTCGGTATCTGGGGGGATAATTCTACACCCCAAACACTGGAAATTAAAATAAGTAGAAGATAACTTAGCAATATACCTGAAAGATCTTTAAATTCTATATGAGTCTATCTTGTATTGCTAGGAATTTAGCATATGGAGTATATTTCCATGGTATATTAAGGAGAAAAATGCCACAAAATAGCATAGTTCCACACAAATAAAGAAAACATGTATATATGTAGAGATAATATTTTATTCTTTTTGCTTTATGTATCTTCTATAATGTTAACATTTTTGTTATGAGGCAGGAATCATGTTAAGTGAAAAAAGGAAGAAAAACAGCCTAGGTCTCGAGGATTAAAAAGGACTGAAGGAGAACAAAAGGGAGTAGTGCACAGCAGGCCTGTTTCCCTTTTAGGTCCCCTCCCCCGACGCGGAGGGACTTCCCGCCAAAGCTCTTCCGGTTTTCAGTCTGGTCCGCAGGGTTTACCCATAAAAGAAAGCTGCCATCACAGGCAGCAGATCTTTGTTCTCTGATCACTTGATAATGTCAGGACGCGGCAAAGGAGGTAAGGGTCTGGGGAAAGGGGGTGCCAAGCGCCACCGCAAAGTGCTGCGCGACAACATCCAGGGCATCACCAAGCCAGCCATCCGGCGCCTTGCCCGCCGCGGCGGTGTGAAGCGCATCTCCGGCCTCATCTATGAGGAGACCCGCGGGGTGCTGAAGGTCTTCCTGGAGAACGTGATCCGGGACGCCGTGACCTACACGGAGCACGCCAAGCGCAAGACGGTCACCGCCATGGACGTAGTCTATGCGCTGAAGCGCCAGGGCCGCACCCTTTATGGCTTCGGCGGCTAAACAGCATTTTGAAGCCCTGTCGTTCTCTAAAAAGGCCCTTTTTAGGGCCCCTAAGCTTTCAACAAAAGAGTTAAAATGACAGCAAACTGAGTCTCTTAATAGGGTCCTTGTCAGTGAGTTCTCTTATCCTGTTTTACAAGATTAACTCGGGATGTCGAAAGTGGACTGATGACTACAGATGGCCCTGGGCCGAGATTTCCCAAGGCTAGAAGAGCCTCTGCTGGCCAGTAACTTCTGGCGGCTGCTTGCAAATTGCCTGCAGCCGGTTTACCGCTCGGATTAGGGGCGGGCTAGACACTTAACTTCCCTCTGGCCCTTCAAATACGTCTCGGGAGAGATGAGGGGTTTGATGGGGGCTCCATTAAATGCTGGAGCCTTCAGGATTTGGAGTGGGGAGCAGACCATACTTTTACTACTGTAGAAGACAGCTGGGCAGTCTTAAGAGTCTTAGTAATAATATTCCTTTATATGTTTGCCTTCTGATACGATTTTTAAATACTGAAATATATCAAGTATACAAAATGCGCTGGTGACCACACCACTTATTCAACAACTACAGTTAAAATCCTCATGTCCCTTCTCAGTAGCACAGCCCTCCCTTTTTCCTATCCTAGAATTAACTAATATTCTAGGATAAACTGACATTCTGAATTTGGTGTTTACTGTTCCTACGCATTTTTAACTTTAGATGCACATACCCCTAAATCTATTTTAAACATCTTCATGAATTTTTACATTTGCTCTTGAAATATATCCGTGTTGAAATGTGCAGTTCTACGTTATTTTCACCATTAATCTAGTTTTCTAATGTGTCAGTAAATACTTTATTCATTTCTGTTGATTTTTTTTTTCCTCATTACAAAACAGCACTGTACACACCTGTGCATTTTCTGGTTACATGAAAGTGGAATTATTTGGTAAAAGTATGTGCATATTAAACGAGTAAAAATGAACAATTTGCTTTCCAGGATGGTATTTTAAAATTTACACTCCCATATTCCACCAGCAGTGCTTCAGAATTATTGTTTATCAGCATTTCCTTATGTCAGATTGGAGTTTTTTCAATGAGATTTTTGGCTATTTGGAGATTTTCCCACTTTTCTGGGAATTTTGGTCTATCCAGATTCTCTACAGTTTTTATTTTATGAGTTTTGATTTGTAAATATTTATATATTTGAGTTTTAACTTTTTGTCAGTATGTGACAAATATATTCTGTCACCTTGTGGGTTCGTTTTTAACTGTTCGTGATATCTTTGGATGTACAGAATTTTAATAATGTTGGATTTATATTTTTTATAGTTTTTGAATGCTGCCTTTTCATAAAGGAGTTATCTGCCTTCCACTTTCCCCAGGAGCTGCAGGCATCAATCTGGGGAGAAAAAAAAAAGTATTTAGGCTGCTTATCTCCTGATTTGGCTTGAATTGGATAGTAAGGCTTTTCTAAAATAGCTCTAAGAGTAGCTTTAAGAGCAAGCTAAGGGAAGACCTCACAAAAGATTGATCTTACTCTCTAAATAAGCAATGATTAACAACACCTAAAATTTTCAAAGTATTACAAAAGGGACAAAAGAAACGGTGAAAGAGGAAAGTAATTCCTAAGATACACTGAAAGTTTGTTGAAAATTGTGTTAAACGCTTTACATGGATTATCTCATATCTCATATTTTCATGATAGATTTTACTACTCTTATTTTAAAATGACAAAATAGAGGTCAAATCAAATAACCAATTCACAAATGTTAGAGTCTGTGACCCAAACTTGTAATTTTTAAATTTTTATTCTTCCAGGAGCATAGATTCAAATTGCCCTGAACATACACTCACTGAAACCTGTAATATTCTTTTTTTTTTTTTTTTTTTTTTTTTGAGACAGAGTCTCGCTCTGTCACCCAGGCTGGAGTGCAGTGGCGCCGGATCTCAGCTCACTGCAAGCTCCGCCTCCCGGGTTCACGCCATTCTCACGCCATTCTCCTGCCTCAGCCTCCCGAGTAGCTGGGACTACAGGCGCCCGCCACCTCGCCCGGCTAGTTTTTTGTATTTTTTAGTAGAGACGGGGTTTCACCGTGTTAACCAGGATGGTCTCGATCTCCCGACCTCGTGATCCGCCCGTCTCGGCCTCCCAAAGTGCTGGGATTACAGGCTTGAGCCACCGCGCCCGGCAAACCTGTAATATTCTTAATCACACTCTCTTAGTAGATAGAGAAGCCATCACAGAGAGTAGTAGTGGTGCTAGTCCTATAAGGGAGAATTTGGGGAAATGTGTCAGGACAGGTACAAAACCTGCCTGTCACTTATCCCAATAGGAATGAATTATTTTCATGTGTCAGTTTGTGGGCCTACCCGAGAAAGTCGTTTTCATTTTGTGTCTATATAGTTATGTTATTGTTAAAGAAATCTGCAGCATGTAACATGTCCTTCCCTGTCATTTTTCATGTTCCAAGCCCAATGGATTAAACACTCCCTTGGGAAAAACTGTAGTAAGTGGTGATGCCAGAAGGAATTGTAATCCTTTGCATAGTGCCCTAGTGGGTTTTAGGTCAAGTTCTGCTCATTGAGTGTCTTATGGTATAGCACTAGCCATGCATGGAGTTTGAGCACTTACAATGTGGCATGTGACTGAGGGAGTGTTTAATTATATTTTAATTAGTTTACATTTAAAAACTGGTGCTGGATTCAATTAGATAACATCCAAGTATGCTTGGAACACCTTAGGGACATGAATCAGAATCTTCTTATTCTAATTACAGATGAAGAATTCCCCATGAAAATTTATTTTGATATACTGTAAAAGTGTAAAATACACACTAGATTTTGAAGATTTGAAATGAAAAAAGAATGCAAGATATTTAATACATTCTGTATTGACTATATGCTGAAACTGTATTTTTGATACATTCTGTCAAATAGGATACATTATTAAAATTAATTGTAACTTTTTTTTTTGGAAACGAAGTCTTGACCCTCTTGTCCCCCAGGTTGGAGTACAATGGCGCCATCTCGGCTCACTGCAACCTCTGCCTCCCAGGTTCAAGAGATTCTCCTGCCTCAGCCTCCCGAGTAGCTGGGAATACAGATGCGTACCACCCCGCCTGGCTAATTTTTTGCATTTTAAGTAGAGACGGGGTTTCACCATGTTGACCAGGCTGGTCTTGAACTCCTGACCTCAGGTGATCCACCCACCTCGGCCTCCCAAAGTGCTGGCATTGCAGGCATGAGCCACTGCGCCTGATTTTTTTTTAACTTTTAAAAATGGTTACTGGAAAGATAAGAAGTACATGTATGACTTGTATTATATTCACTCCCCCCCTTTTATTTTTTTTTTGAGATGGAGTCTTGCTCTGTCACCCAGGTTCTAGTGCAGTGGCATGATCTCGGCTCACTGCAACCTCTGCCTCCCAGGTTCAAGTCATTCTCCTGCCTCAGCCTCCCAAGCAGCTGGGACTACAGGCGTCCCATTAGTCGAAACCATGCCCGACTAATTTTTGTATTTTTAGTAGAGACGGGGTTTCACCATACTGGCCAGGCTGGTCTTGAACTCCTGACCTTGTGATCCACCCACCTCAGCCTCCCAAAGTGCTGGGATTACAGACATGAGCCATCGCACCTGGCCGTATTATATTTCTATTTGAGTAGTGTCTTAAGAGTAACAAACTGGTTTTCAGACACTTATAATAGGACAGAAAAATCCTAGTTCAAGAAAGAATGAGAAAGTAGGAGAAACCAAATGAACAACAAATTTCCCAGGCCGGGCACGGTGGCTCACCCACCCGGTTCATGCCAGCACTTTGGGAGGCCAAGGTGGGTGGATCACCTGACGTCAGGAGTTCAAGACCAGCCTGGCCAACATGGTGAAACCACATCTCTACTAAAAATATAAAAACTAGCCGGGCATGGTCACGGGCGCCTGTAATCCCAGCTATTCAGGAGGCTGAGGCAGGAGAATTGCTTGAACCCAGGAGACAGAGGTTGCATTGAGCCGACACAGTGCCACTGCACTCCAGCCTCAGTGACAGTGAGACTGTCTCAAAAAAAAAATTTTTTTTTTCCTTTCCTTCACGTATATTCCTGAAGACAGAGATAAGGTCTTCTCCCAGCTGTACTTATACCTCAGGTAATACCAAGAAAGCAGTGACATGATATATTACACTTCATGGGCATAGAGTTGTGACATTTACTCCTTTGTATTAAGGACTTGAAGAATTACTAAGTTTTTCCAGCTCATCTAAGGTAGAAAGCCATGCCATTTTCTTAGGTCCATTGACCTCTTTACTTCCAACTTCTAGGCTCAGATACTAGATAACAACACAGACCAAACATATGATTGCCAAGTCCCTAACCACAGTTAAATAAACCTCCACTTTTCAATCCCAGAGCTACTCTCAGTTTCCCAAAGAATGGGAAAATCTGAAGCAGGCAATTATTCTGTGCAAGTGTTCTTCAGGAGGCTGTAACAATTGTTAGATTAAATTGCTGTGGTCCAGAATCACACAGCAATTATTGTAAAGCACTGAACTACTCTTTAAAAAATTATTTTATGAGACAGGAGACAATTTAGCACATTCAACTTTTTAACAATCTAAGAGAGATTATGAAATATAAAAATGAATAAAAGAGCCCTATTTTTGTTTCAAATTAAGTCAAATTAATACACATGGCTAATGAGAAAATACATGACAAAGAGATATGTGGTATAATGGGAACAAACAAGAGCATAATGGAATCTTGTTCTGATTCTAACGATCTGAGCAAATTAAGCTTTGCATCCATTTAGCTATTTGTAAAATAACATTGATCTGAACTTTTTGATTCCTTCAAGCTGTTAAACTCTGTGCTATCAACCGGGAATGGTTGCTCACGCCTGTAATCCTAGCACTTTGGGAGGCCGAGGCCGGTATAGATAGCCTGAGGTCGGGAGTTCGAGACCAGCCTGGCCAACATGTTGAAACCCCCATCTCTACTAAAAATACAAAATTTAGGCAGGCGTGGTGGCAGGCGCCTGTAATACCAGCCATTTGGGAAACTGAGGCAAGAGAATCGCTTGAACCTGGGAGGGGGAGGGTTGCAGTGAGCCAAGATCTCACCATTGGACTGCAGCCTGGGCAACAGAGCTAGACTCCGTCTTGCGGGGGGAAGGGGGGGGATATCTGTGCTATGGAGAGAAATAAAATGAGATCATTTTGAAGGGAGTGAGAAAAGGGGTGAGGGTGAAAGCAGGAGAAAGTTATGGCCACTTCCACCAGTATTTCTATTAAAACACAAATGCACTTCCAGAATTTTATAAAAAGCAAAAAGGACTGAAAGTAAATTGTATAAAATCAAGATGTTATGTCCATTTGCAAAAATAGTTTGTAAGTCTAAAGGTAATAACAGCAGATAACTTCAGAGTAAAAATTTTAGTCTGTAAAGAGTAGTCAGGTATACCTGAAGGTAGAATTCATTGGCATAGTGTATCTTAGTTTGTTTTTAAATTTTATTTGCGACGGAGTCTTGCTCTGTTGCCCAGGCTGGAGTGCAGT